ATAGCCATTATGCTCACCAGTTGTTCTCTATTTATACTTGTTTATCTAATTTGCATATGATACTACACCTCCCTGAATCAGAGAGGTCATATACCCTTATTTTTTCTTTTACTATTCCTGATTATTTTCGTACTATGTTGTCCTTACTCTTGTCTTTTTTGTTTTCTCTTTAATGGTGATCTCGGTCTCTCTTCATTTTCTTCTTCATACTTGTCTGTCTTTTCATTCTCACTTTCTTCCATTCCCTACTCCATTCCACTTTTGTAACTTTCTGTCTCTTGTTCTTGATCTTACATTTCTATATCATCCAGTTCATTTCTGCTTCTGAACTGATCTGCATGTGCCAGTATAAGTTGTCTCTTTTTCTCAGGTATAGTAGCCGTGTTGTGTCCTTTTTGTATCAGGAAATTTGCTTCTTCTGGATCAGCTTTTTTATTATTTTTAGACCATACCTTTTCTTTCATTGAAAAGGACATAGTTATAGGGGCCCTGATTTGTCTTCCCATTAATGCCAAAGAGCTCAGTTTTCTTCCTGCATGTGGAATGGATCTGTAAATGAGGAGCATTTTTGGTAAATATGCTTTTATGCTTTCATTAAGTGGTGCAAATGCTTTTAATCCCATTTTTACTGTTTATACCATTCTTTCCATGAAGCCATTAGATTGTGGGTGATATGGTGGTGTCTTGTATGGGATACATTCAATCTTTTTTAACCATGCACATAAGTTCTCATCACAAAATTCAGGTGTATTGTCGATAACTATTGTCTGGGGTACTCCATTCCTTGAGAATATAGTTCTTAGTACTTGCTTTATTGTAGTGGCTTTTCTGTCTTTCACCTTGACAACCTCTAGCCATCCTGAATATGAATCCACTAATATTAAGAACAATCCCTATCTTTGATATGTGCATGTTCCATGTGGACCCTAACCCATGGCTCTGCTTCCTTGGGCCATGAGTGAATTTTTGCTTGCTTGAACTTTTTTATTTCCTCACATTTTGGGTATCTCTTAATGTATTCCTCTACATCTTTTGAATATCCTGGCCACCAGGCTTGTAACTTTAGTCTTTATTGTGTTGCTGTTATGCCACAATGAACATCATCATGTACTCCATTTAATATGTTTCTTTTCAGTATTTGTAGAGCTGCTATTATATCCCCATTGCATATTATGCCATTTTCTATGATTAGTTTGTGCTTCATTTCTTTAAAAGGTTGCTCTGCCATCAAACAATTGCTTCATATATTATTTTTTATTCTCTTTACTATTCTGCTTTATATTGGGTCTTGCTTTGTTTCTATTTTGAGTCTATTTAAAGGAAGAACGTCTGTTTCTACCCAGTGTATTATTTTATCTTCAGTATTTTCCTGTTTTTCTTCTGTTTCATTCTTGAACTGTAATCTTGATAAAGCATCTACGTGAGGGATAGTGTTCCCTTTTACGTATACTATGTCAAAATCAAATGCCATGATCTTTATTGCCCATCTGAAAATCCTTGAGAATGTGACTTGGCAATTCTTTTTTTGGGTTAAATATGAATTCCAATGGTTTGTGGTCTGATTTTAGTAAGAGTTTTTTTCCTATCAAAAAATTTTGTGCTCTTTGCATGCTCCATACAATCACTAGTGCTTCTTTTTCAATATTCAAGTAGTTTCAGCTGACATTAACTTTCTTCATATATACATGATTGGGTGTTCTTCTTTTGATAGAATAGCAACAATCACCCTTTCACTCGTGTCCTGTGGTTAACATTACTTCTTTTTGTGAGTCAAAAACTTTTATTATTGGTTTGTTCCTCAGTATTTTCTTTTGTGTTTCAAAAGCAATAATTTGTTTTTGTGTCCAGTTAAATTCATTGTTTTTTTTTTTTTGCATAATTTTGCAAATTATGTCACTGTATCTTGGTATGTATTTACTATAAAAATTTATTAGCCCCAAAAAGGATTCTAATTCTTTTTTATTTGTTGGAGCAGCTATTTCTGTTATTTTTTTTGTTAGTCTATCATCAGCTGATATGCCTTCTTTCGATATTTGATATCCTAAATATGATATCTTCTTACAGTCAAAATTACATTTGTCTTTGTTTGCCTGCCTTTTTTAATCTCACTAAAATTTGCTCTGTTTTATATTTTAATTCTTCTTTAGTTCTTGCCCCTGCACATATATCATCCTGGTATATAATTATATTTTTTATTTTTCCTAATAAGGCTCTTTCAATTGCTTTTTGAAAAATGTGGCTTGACGTCTTTACCCCAAATAGTAGATGAGTCCATCTTAGTAAGCCTAAAGGAGTGTTTATTGTGGTGATTTCCTTGAATTTCTCATCAATTTCTGTTTGGTTATATGTTGCCTTGAGATTAATTTTTGCAAAGTGTTCCATTTTTGCTAACTCCAGTCTCGCAGTTTTGATATTTGACAAAGGAAAAGAGTCTGAACATATCTGATGATTTACCTCTATCTTGTAATCATCACAAATCCTTAAATCTCCGTCAGGTTTCTTTATTACTACTATTGGTGACAGTCAATTGCTACCACCTTGAGTTACTCTTTCTAGTATGCTTTGTTGTATCACTTTGTTTAATTTGGCTACTACCAAAGGTAGGATATGAATTTGAACTTTTTTTGGCTCTATATATTTTGGGTGATAATTTTCTTTTACTCAAATGCTTGCTTTATAGCCTTTCAATAATCCTATTTCATTTTCTTCTGCTTTCATGGAATTGATTAGTCTTGCTGTATCTACTTTTAATACATCAATTCCTAGTAATCCGTGATCTTTTTTTGCATTGTACAACTGTAATGGGAATTACTTCAAAATGCTTGTCAGTTTCAAAATTGCCTTGAAATGTACCCATTATTTTTATAGTCATTCCATCCAATTGCTTTAATTGGATGTTGTTTTTCTTTAATTTAGGTTGTCGTAATTTTATCCAGAAATTTTTTGGTATCAACATGACTTTACTGCCTGTATCAACTTGCATGTTACGTACCTGGCTATTTATCCTTATTTTTTTCTCTACTTCTTTTTTGTGTATTCATTGTAAACATTTCAGCTTCTTCTTCTGGGGGTGTTTGTACCATTTATATTCTTTCTATTTTCTTTTTGTATTTGCATACATTCTGAAAATGATCTCTTTTTGTGCAATTTGAGCATATTTTTCCTAGAGCTGGGCATTTGTACTTGTCTCTCTTGTGATTTTTTTCCACAATATCTACATTTAATTATGGATTCAGTCATGCTCATCCTGTATGTCTTGGATTCTTCTTTTGGTTGATTAAATTCTCTAATCAACTCTAATTATTGTAAAACCTCAACGTTAGCTTCCAAACTCCTGCTACTACTCTGTAGACATTCTAGTATTTTTCGTTTGTGGTTTTGGTCTTGCAAGCATTCAATTATTCTGAGAAGGATTAATTTGTCTTCTATAGTCATTTCCCTAGCTCTCAGCTTTCCAAATTCACAATACTTAGCTGTTCTTTCAATCTATGTAAGTATTGTATGGTGGACTCATTGGGTGCTTGTCTCTAAAAACTTGGTTCTTTCAGCAATGACCAATCTTTTCTTTGGTCTTTTGTTCTTAATAATTTCTTCAAATGTCATTTCTTCCAATTCACTCGGGTAACACATTTTCGAAATTTTCTTCACAGCTATGCATGCAGCAGTAGCAAGAAATAAATCTGTTATCTTGTTCTCTCCTCTGTCAGTCTGTGTGTCTCTTAATTTTTTCACTCTTGCAAATGCAACAAAAATTCTTATCCATGTTTATATGTGTTCTGGGTCATCCAGTGAATTTAACAATCCTATTGGTGACACCATTGTTATGTTTGGTATATCTTTCTGTGTTATAGCAGTTGTAACACAGTTCTCTGCATTACATTTAGCAAACAGGTTTGCCAAACATAACACTTATGCTCACCAGTTGTTCTCTATTTATACTTGTCTATCTAATTTACATATGATAATACAAAACTATTACAAGAAATAAGAAATGGATATGGTATGATAACAAATGCTAAAGGAAATGGTTATAAATCTGTATCAAATTAATTTCAATATCAATACCCCAACATTATCCCCAGAAGGTTTTGCTATGGATATTGTGAAATATGACAGGTTGGATTGAGTTAGTGAGTTTTATCACATATCAATCATTGTTGATTAATGTTGGTCATGTTTATACTCAAGTCTCTCAGTAAATATTAGCTGTTTAGTGATTATTTTAGTCTTTAGGTAAATATTTGTTGTCTTTACTTTGGTAAATGGCCCCACTTGAATAGGGCTTACTCCTCTGCAGGAGATGCAGCTGGCATATTCTAGGTTGACAGAGCAGGGAAAATAACAGATGTTGTCTACTATGAAATACTGGATCCTGAATAATTCATTATAGTCAATGTTTATTCCCAACAATTTGTGTCATTAGTACATTATACTATAAATGCACAACTTTAGTAAACAGAAAAATTGTCATCCTCCAGCATGGCAATGCAAGGTCTCATTCAGCAAAACAGATCAAGGAAAAAATAAAGTCTCTAGGATCGGATATTTTACTCATTCTTCATATTCAGTAAACTTAGTACATTCAGGTTATATATATATTTTTATTACTATACTATTTTCTCAGTGCCAGGACATTCAGAAATAAAGAAAACATCACTTCAGCTCTGTCAGTTTTCTAATAATTAAGATCCCCATAATTTTACTGGCAGAGAAGTTTTTAAAAATGTTATGTTGAATTGCTGTAATTGATAATGATGATTATTTCATCATTGATTAATAAAATTGAACTTAATTGCATTTGCATTTATTTTTTGTCTCCTTCAATGCACAACATTACTTTCCAAACAACTTTATACATACAATAAAATTTAAAACAGAAACATACAATGAAATGTGAAATAAAACATTTAAAAGTGTTATGTATTTAAAAAGCTAATTTACTTTTACTTGTTATTTTATTAACTACTTTATTATTTTAATATTTTTAAACCATTTTTTAGGCAAAAGAAAAGGAGGCAGAAGAGAAAGAAAAGGAAGCAGCAGAGGAGAAAGAAAATGAAACAGATGAGAATAAAGAAAAGAATGTAGTAGAGGAAGAGCAAATGGAAGAGTATGCTGAAGAAGAAATGGACATAGAGATGTTGTTGCTTGAGGAATTTCAGGTCAGTCTTTCACTTTTGTATTATTTTTAAATGACATTTATAAATATATATTCATTTGTTAACTTATAAATATCAAAATATTATAAAAGAATAGTTTTTTGTGTTAACTAATAAAATTAATCTGGGTTTATAAAACGCCAAAGTTTCTACAGATCTTCATTCAAAACTTTTAACTTGATGCATTCCAATATCCTTAACTTCTGTAATATCTTTAGAGATAAGCAGGGAGACTTTCTGTGGCGAATAAAGAAAACAGTAACCAGCGAGTAAATTCAAGCTCTCCCAGCTGGTATTTCAACCTCGAGTCGTTCCTTCTTGAGTTCTGTCTCAAAATCGCACTAACAGACTGTTCTAGCCGCCAACTGTGAATGTCACACGAAGAACTCCCTGCATTGGGAAAAAGAAGTAGTTGCTTTTATATTTGTCCATATACCCATAATCCCTTGCGTCTTCATGTGAACCCATAATTCATTGCGTCCCTGTCCCATAATGCATTGCATCTTTATTGCATAAAAATACAATGCAAGTCCCCCCTCATTCTTTTACGTTATCTGGCCGAGGACAGATTACAGCAGAGCAGTAAGTGCTTTTTTCTCCTTCATTTCATTGCAGTAGCTTTACATGCTAAGCAAATACGGGCTCTTTTTTGGCAGGGACAAGGCAAGTCGCGACCAGTTGTGCTCGTCCCAGGTTCTGTCTCATGTCTGCCACACTCCCCCCTGATCTCCTGATCACACAGATGACAGTGCGGATATGGTCTTTTGTTCCGGGTGCTCCTCCGAAGGGGGATTGGTTGAGCTTCTTCATCGGAGGAGCTCTCATTAGACACGTCCTGATCTATTGGCAAGCTACTGATATCGGAGTGATCAGTTGTTGAACCCAACTCTATGTATATTGGCTGTTCACTATCCTCCGTGTCTTCTTCGTCAGTTGTGAGATTTGATCCCAAAAAAGGGCGCAGGTCTCTAACATGACGAGGTGTTCCATCGACCCGCACTGACTGCTGACTCACCACCTTGGTCACACGTCTGGTTCCAAATTTGGTCATGCATTTACCAGGTGGAGTCTTAACCCAGACAATGTCCCCTTTCTTGTATTCCCCTTTGGTTATTTGTGATTCAGGCGGAAGCGTCGCATCAATGCCTCTCACTCAGACGTGGTATGTGTGCAGTACATCAACCGGTGCCGTGAAAGGTTGTCCTTGGGTGTGACGTTATGCCAGTAAATCGCTTCCAAGACTGAACAATTTTTTCTGGCCGCTATGGTTTTGACGCTTCTGTGGTTGCGTTCCACAATGCCATTTCCAGACGGCACGTAAGCACACTGGAACCTTAAATGCACGCCCCAGCTGCTTACAAATTCCTTAAATTGTCTGCAAGTGAACGTGGTGTCATTGTTGATAAGAATGGCGGCACATGTGTTCAGGTTTCCGAAACGCGCTTCACCTGATTCAGTCAGGTGAACACCTCCGAGCACTTTGATTGAGAAGAAGATCGAACCCTAGCAACTGTCCTTCCACGACCAGAACCTCAACAGTCACGGGCTGAATCTGCTCGACGCCCAACTTAATTTTACCATATCCACGGCACTTCAGGGTCCTCCCGTCGGCAGTCAACACTCCCATCTCTTCCTGCTTCCAGCAGCGACACACAGCCTTGCTCACCAGCGTCTGTGAGCATCCCGAATCCACTAGAGCTGTGCACTCTACTCCATTTACAAATACTTGTACGGTGGGTAACTTCTGGGTTTTTACTTGCTGTGGGAGAAGGCTGGCACTGACGCCTTCTCCCCATGGGTGTTTCCCTGGCATTCTGAAGAAATGTGTCCAATGCCATTGCATCGAAAACGCCGCTTGTCGCAGCCAGACCTCTGCATTCTGTTTGACCACTCCTGACGTCCTTGTGTACAATTCTTCGCTATATGGTTGGGTCCAGAGCACTTGTAGCAGGTAATCATTCTGCTAACAGGTTTGGCAGGGGGAACCTCAGCTTCTGAGCGCGGTAGCTCTACATATGCGGTGGCCAATACCTGGCACCCTTCGTCATCCGTCATAATAGCCCTTGCTTGGGTCAGAATCTGTTCTAGATTCATGTCGTCCATCCTGGACGAAGCTTTGAGAAGCTGCCTAACATGATGTGGCAGCCCTGACACAAATGCACATGCCATCCACTGATCAGGCAGCAGTTCTCCTATTAGCCGCGCCAAACGATGCATTTCAGCCAGGAATTCATCCACCGTTTCCCCTGGGCGAAGACGTCATCCCATAAATTGGTCGAACGCATTAAATCTGTCAGTCGTGTATGCAGTCATAAGGGCCCGTTTAATTTGTTCCGCGTCTGCCCTCTGCTCTCCACTAAGTTGTCTATACACAGCAAGGGCACCGCCTCATAGTCGTAGAGGCAAGATGCGCTCGATCTTGTCCATGGCGCAAAGTTTGCAGACCAATTCCACATTTTCTATCCATTCAACAATGGGCATATCCGTTGGGGCGCCGCTCAATTCTGGAATCAAACGGATGTCAAAGACCTTGCCTTCCATTTTGAAGAATCAATAGGCCAAAATAGCTTGTGGTGAATAAAGAAAACAGCAACCAGCGAGTAAATTCAAGCTCTCCCAGCTGGTATTTCAACCTCGAGTCGTTCCTTCTTGAGTTCTGTCTCAAAATCGCACTAACAGACTGTTCTAGCCGCCAACCGTGAATGTCCCTCGAAGAACTCCCTGCATTGGGAAAAAGTAGTTGCTTTTATATTTGTCCATATACCCATAATCCCTTGCGTCTTCATGTGATCCCATAATTCATTGTGCCCCTGTCCCATAATGCATTGCATCTTTATTGCATAAAAATGCAATGCAAGTCTCCCCTCATTCTTTTACGTTATCTGGCCGAGGACGGATTACGGCAGAGTGGTAAGTGCTTTTTTCTCCCTCATTTCAACTGCAGTAGCTTTACATGCTAATCAAATACAGGCTCTTTTTTGGCAGGGACAAGGCAAGTCGCGACCAGTTGTGCTCGTCCCAGGTTCTGTCTCATGACTGCCACACTTTCAAATGTTTGAGGCATTTTCTTACAGTGTTTATAGATTATTGAATATTTTTCTGTAAATCCTTTCTTTAAAATATTCTTGCTGGAGAATTTCAATATTTTAAGTTTTCCTAATCTATGATTATTCCCCTCTGATTCTATAGGTAACATTTATTTAGTATCTTAGTGTCAATACTGCACCATGAGTGACATAATCATTGACATTTCTATAATGATTTAGTGTGCATCAAAACTTCTGCATTTGAAATTATGTTCCCTTTAATATCCATCATATTTTCCATAAACTTGTGATAGCCAACTGTAATAAGCACCATCAGTAAGCTACATAATGAATTTGAGGGAGTGAATGGAAAAGTGGGGACAAAAAAGGATGGTACATTAAAATAATGCTTAGAGTAACAAGGAACAGGAAGTTGTGGAGAACCATAATTACCCATATCATGAAGGGACATGGTACATGAAAGAAGTACCATGAAGTATGTATTTCTCACTGATGCTAGAAGTTGGTCTTCAAACCCATATTAAAAAAACCAAGACTTTTGAATGCTGATTATCTAGGCAGGTGGACATGTCTCATTTGGAAGATTAATGTAACAAAATATTCCTAACCCTTATTTCTCCTCTTTGGGCTTGTATCATGCAAACTAAGAGAAGTAAATAAAAGCCATTAGACCCAGAAAAGTATACCTTAAAACCTCAGTGCTATCCTGACATTCTTTTCCCATGTCAATTAGTATCAGATCAGTGATAGAACAAAATCCAAACACCTCTCATTATAATCCTCTGTTCATGCTTTTCATACCAATATGAAATCATGCTAATAGCAAACAGAATTTTTATTTTTATATTCTGCCCATTAGGTCATTTCATACCCTTTAATCTACTCCCTTGCCAATGTTGAGTACAAAATGAGAATACTAGATAATATAATTAAATAAAAGAGAAATACAATATGTGCAAAATATATGAAAAGATATTGTTTTTTATTGAAAATATGAGCATTTTTAAAAGTTAATTTTTTTTTTTGAATCTTCATTTAAATTTTTTTTGTAACCTTATCAGTCTGAAACAATCTTACAATAATGTCTCTTTAACAGGAAGAAGAAGAAGAAGATATGGCTGAACTTGAAGAAGAAAATGAAGAGGATGCTTATGACAAATATTTTGGTGAAATTACTGAACAGTTTGAAATTGAGTCATCCAAGCTGACAAGTGTCCAAGTAAGATATAATGCATATCTCTTCATATAAAACAAAAATGTTTCTCTTTGTTTAAAAAGGATACTTAAAGGATCTTGTATTTACAGCTTTATCATTAGAATCAATGATTTATTTGATTCACAAAAACATTTCTAAAAGTCATACATTTCATGAACTTTTATGTGTGATGCTAATCTTGATATTGGTTCAAAGCTTAAATTATATATTTGTATCAACAATAAAGTTTAAGCAGCATTGCCCAAGTAGAAAATATAATTCAAAATTTTAAGTAATATCAAGTGTTTTCTACACTGTCAAAAAATAAAATTGCAACACCCTGAATATGTGTTTCAATTTACTCAAGTTTAAATATACAGAAAATATAGCTGGATTACAGTAAATGATCACATATATAGATGAATATGTACATTTTCCAAAATAAGGGATGTATCAAGAGTAAACAAATCAAATATTAATACTCTCTTTGGGCATTAACACAGGACTGCACATGTGCATGCATACAATGAATTTCATCCTTCAATACATTATTCCACACATCTTGAACTCCTTAATACAATAACCCTTAATACAATACAGCAAATACAATAGGTGGGATAACTGAACCGGTCAGGTGTTGTGTTGGCCAGTGAAGTTTTCAAATACCTTGCAAAGATTTTGAATAGCATGGGCATCTTGTAGGCAGGCATTATCCTGCTGAAACAGCACCCTGTTGCAGACTTCACTAATCCACTCCTCTCTCCTGACACCAACTGTGACCTTGGCCAACAAACCCAAGAAATCAGTCAACTCCTGAGCCTACCGACAACACCTTAACACCTAATCACTTTCCATACTAATAGTAACTAGGGAACCAAATATGAGCAATTTTTGCCACCTTTCTACACAACTTTGTGCAATACACGTTGTTGAAATCTTAATCATTATTTGTTTCCTTTTCAACTAAATGCTTGCTATAACAATGATTTCAGTCATACTTCTACTCATTGTTAAGATTTGGGGTTGACTAGAAAAGAGAAAGTATCCATTGATCTAATGAAAAAAATCTCACTAAAAATGATGAATATATATTTTTTATTTATTTTTTGAAGAATTCTTTTAATTGTTTTTTTATATATGCTGTTATTCTCCTAGGAAAGTTTAGAAGATGCCCCAATTCCTCGCATTATGGTTGATGCAGGCCGAAGGCAGCATATTGTTTACTATGTTCTCAACCGATCACTTCGACCCTATGTAGAATATCGTCAAAGCATATTTGAAAGAGTATATCCATTGAGTGAACATATGGCCAGACAACTACTTAACAATGGATATAAGCAACCAAGTTGCTTGGGATGCTGGTGCCCTGTTCTTGTAAGTATTTAGTTTACTTCATGCTTTTATCACTTTTTTCTGATGTTAATATTTAAAGTCAAATTTATAAAAATAGTTGATTAAAATGTCTTTTATCTCACTACCTTTTAAATGCAAAATAAAAAATTTAATTTCAAATTTGACTTTAGTGAATTAAATGATGTTGAAAGTATAAAAAAGTGTTGAATGTTCTTTTCAAACAGAGTAGGGAATGGATCCACATCTACTTTCAATTTTCTTTTGTTTGTTCATTGTAATCAGTATTATTATTCTGTATTTGTGCCATACACCTTATAAAAATTAATTTTTATCTAAGAAATAGCTAAAAAGGTTTTATCAAGATGTAACATCCTTGAGAGAATGATTGTTGTTTCATATCTTATTGAAAGTTTTTGTTTCCCTTAGCTTCAAGAAAATGTCAGTATCCAAACAATAAATAACAGCAGGAATGACAGATATCCTTGTATCTACAGACAGCACATTTATTTCCTTTCTTCTACTGAAGCACGTGAAAAATTCATCAAAAACCCATTAGCTTACTTGACAAAAAGTACAAAGCCCAGACCTATTGTTCCAATGAAATTAGCCATTCTTGGACCACCAAAATGTGGCAAAACCCATTGTAAGTACTAAGTTGTTTTTTTTATGATTCTTTGCTCAAATACAATTGAAAATCATTTACTTTTATTATTTACTGTTATTATTTGTCTCAGTTTGCTCAGACATGTCTTCTTTTTTGGTTATAAAGAAGTGGTACAAACTATTTTAAGGGAGAGTTTTATTTTTAAACATAATGTGGAGAGGCAGCCTGTTAACAGGTTGGGGTACCTGTCAGAATAAATCTGATGTTCTAATACCTGAAATTTATAATAAAGCCAGGGTAACATCATTGATGACCTCTACTGTTGCATTTTACAAATGTATTTTAAGAATATTTACATGTGGACCATCTTTGTTGTTTTCACAACATTTCAACTATTGTGCCCTCTGGCTTTCATTAGATGTATGTCACTCTGGGTAACCTACAGAGAATTCTGAATTCATTTATGTTATATTCCATGCTAATAGGAATATATACTTGAAAAAGCAAGGTGGATAAAATAAGTAAATGGTCATTGTAAAAACCAGTACAATAAGAATAAAGGTAACAGTTATGCACAAGGTTGTCGCAAGTTAATCCAGTAGTGAGTGCTACTATTGGAAGGTCGGTAGTTCTCGCATAAATCTGGGTTGTACTCAACAGATCCTAGCTAGTCTCCCTAGTTCATTGACTTACAGATACTTATAGGTAGTTACTACTCATGGAGGTGATAGGTTATTCCATTACATCAATTTATTTATATGCTAAACCGAGAGGGAATTCTGTACTGAACCCTTTAGCTAATCTACAGGTACATGTTTAAGAATATCTCTTAGTACTGCTCAGTTATTACTTGCTCTGTTTGCACTGAGTTCAAGTACACACTATGCTACCTGACCCAGGGATTAAACTCACAATTACTAAATCAATGCTTTAATCCACTAGGTTATTGTCCTGTGTGACAATTCTCTGTGGAAAACCTTGCCTGCTGATGAGTGCTGTTTTGCTGCTGCTGTTGAAGACTTGCTTTCATGTGATTTTCTTTCTTTATTAGTGTCTTCCATATTGCATTTATTTCTATGTTAGTCTTATAACACCTCCATGGTAGGCCTAACATATTTGCTAATTCTTTCAGACTTCTAACTCTCCAGTATTCTTCATTGTCCAGTATTTTCATTTCATTCTACAGTGGCTGATGACTACTCTTTTTTCTCCATATATGATCAGTCATGCTTGATTTCATTGTCTCACCACTCTCAGTACATTGTTCCTCCAGCCTTACTTTTAAGGTGGCTTGTTTCTCTTTTTCTTTGCCACAGCTAATATGTAAATAGTTTAAATAATAACTTTTCATCACAGAAATTTGGGCAGTAAAACTTTATAATTAAAAATAAGTTAAAACTTTATGATTTTAATTACTTATGAAAACACTGTAAAGTATCAACCTCATTTTATGGGGAAATTCCCTGTCTGTAAAGATTCTGTTAAACCTCCTCAGGAAAAATGACATTAACACTAAAAAGGAAAACAGGACTTCCCTTACATTTAAAATTCTACTTGGCACATGTAGGCAGCAAGAATTAATTTTAATAAGTTTTAATTCAACCTACAAGGAGTATTTGTTTAATTTTCTATTATATTTTTCTAATTTTCAAATAAGTTGTTGTATATCCAGATCAAAATTGTGGATAAACTGCTCAAAGTTTATGTTTTGTTCTAATTTTGTTTGAGTACTTTTAACTATCTCATCCATTATCAAGAAGTGAATATTGTCTTGGTAGCTAAAAGTTGTGTTAACTACATCCAGGCAATTTTTGGAACATAACATTTCAAATTGAAATATATGTATATCATATAAGTAGGTGCTCCCCAAAAATAGGATACCTAAGTTTTAAAATGAATTTTAAAAATGAAAAATCTTGAAGCTTTTATTTCAGTTTTAACTCCAAGCTAATAGATTAAATTAATATATCTAATAAGCAAAATACTTTGCTGTATTTCAAACCAAATTTAAATAGATTGAAATGATTTTTTTAAGTTACTAAAATCAGCCATATTGACAAATCTGTCAACTCAACATAGTTCTCTTTTAATAAAAAAATCTTTAAAAAATAAAATATACTTTTCTGAAACTTTATTTGGGGAAGATTAACTGATTCAAAGTTTAATTTGAATTAAAACAAATATTACCTACTTTTAGTTCAAAATATTGCAGAAATGCATTTTTGAACATGGAAGTGGGTGTTTTTATGTGGTGTTAACAGATTTATCAATAGCTTAATGTTTGGCAACTTCAAGTAAAGTGTATGACTGTAACAGTTACTTCATGATTACTGAGGTGACTCATTTACATATGAAATCACAAAGACTATAAATAGTTACAGCTATTACCCATGAGGCAATTGAGTGCATACTACTTCATGTGAGTCAGTAACACTATACTACAATGTCATTGTCTATATCTAAAGAACTGAACAAATAATTATCACTTGATAATTATGAATATGCACAAGCATGGCTTAGGATACTAGCAGCTAAATCTAGATCAAAAAAGGATTTAAAATCAGTCAGAGGAAGAAACCAAATAACTAATCTTTTCTTGGCCACTGTTGGCTGTTAGGCTGTTATAAAATTATCAGCAATTGCACATGCAAGAGAGTTGGGGGAAATGACATTTGACAATATGTCAACTAATAGTAAAACATAACACCCAAGAAAAAACTAGTGAATGCAGAGAGAGCTAAGTTTATAAATATTTTTCAAGTGAATATGCCAGTTATTGCATATGTTCTTTGCTTAAAACAGGCCACTAAATATTGTAAATTTGAGAAACTGGGATTGGAAAACCAGTCAATCAAAGAGGATTTGATCCAAATGAAATTGGTAAATGTCTTTCAAAATGAGGAATATCGGCAAATGACTCTAATGCATTTACAACTAGGAAAGCTGTCACTAAAACAGTGTGTTGAATTTGTTCAGCAATACATGTTATGCGTTTAGAAACATATGTGATAAAGAAAAAAGATAAAATGATGTGTACTTTTTGTGAATATCAACATCAAAGAGAAAAACAAAAATGTGTGACATATAAAAAAATGTGAAAAGTGTTTTTTCAAAATGAATCATTTTAAACATATGTCTAAATCCAAAAAGAAAAACATAGAGATGGTTCAATAAAATGAAGAAGAAATAAGTATAGATGACTTTTCATTGAAAAAAAATGATAAAGGGTTACTAAAAATTCAAATCAATAATGTTTTATTAGATTTGCAACTAGATATGTGAAGTGACATGATGTTGATACCTAGAAATTTCTGGAAGAAATTAGGAAAACCAAGATTAAAAAGCTTTGTTCAATGGAATCAGTTCAATGAATCCATGATAAAAATGTAAGGCTATTTTGAAGGCTATATGAAAGTAAAAAATAAGTTTGATTTATTAATGTTTTATTGTGGCAAACTGTGAAAAGAATCATGGTCTAACAGGAAATGATGCATTGAACATAAATTCGACACAATTGGAAAACAAAGTAAAGGTACAAAAAAGTGGATTTGATAAAAAATTATGAAGCAAAGTTAAGACTAAAGGAAAATGTCTCCCTCTCATATTTTGATGCATGAAAAGTGCCAGTCCATCTACTACCAATAACTGTGGAAAAACTAAAAAATTACTGGAACAAGATCTACTTGAACAAGTTCTGTCAGGAGGGAGCAAATGAGCCTCCCCATTAGTAATTTTAAGAAAGAAGGATGGGTATTATCACATTTGTGGTAACCACCAAAATAGGTGTAACCACAAATAATGTAGAATGGGCTTTGAACTCCCTTGTGGGTATGAAAATATTTTCTAAAATTGATCCAGTCGGCATACCATCAAATGTGTATTGTCAAAGACTTTAAAGAAGTCATAACAATAAACACCAATAGGCTTATTAAGATAGAAAATAATTATGTATGGAATTAAAACCACAAGTGCAATTTTTCAAAGGGCTATAGGTAGTGATATAAAATATAATATGCTACAATTTGTGTTGGTGCTATTAATGATGAAGAATTAAAATGGAAAGCCAGTATGGTTTTGAATAAGTTAAAAAATGATGGATTAACAATTAGCACAAATAAAAAGTATGTGCACAACACTAAAAAAATATTTTTTGGATATTCCATATCTAATGAAGGCATATCTCGGACCAATCGTTAATTGACAAAATATTAAATGTTGAAGTACCTAAAAACAAAAAAGAATTGGAATCTTTCTTAGGACTTGTAAATTTCTACAGGCAATATGTAGAGCAATACTCCAAAGTGTTAGAATCTTTTGCTGCTTTAAGAAAAAAGAATGTGAAATTTATTTGGACAAGAATAACAAGTGGGATTTGAGAATTTAAAAGCTGTTCTGGCAAAGAAGCCAGTAGTAAAAATATTCGGCCCTAGAAAGGAATTAGTAGTAACAACTGATTCAAGTAAACATTCAATTTCAAGAATATTAACTCAGGATGGCCAACCTCTCATGTATTTTTCAAGAAAATTATCAAAAGCTGAATTGAACTACTGAAATATTGATAAAGAAGTGTTGACCATAATATAAATTTTGATTGGAAAAAAATTCTTCCTAAGGTCTGACCGTAGACCTGTAGAATTCATATTTAATCCCAAGAAGGAATTTCCTAAGGTAACGTCTTCTAGAATTCTAAGATGGGTCTTAATATTAATGGTGTTTAACTTTGATATTGAGTACATGTAAGGTAATACTATTCCGCATGTAGATGCTTTGTCGAGATTGAGGTTTGTTACTTTGGAAAGTGAGAAAGAGTAGGAAAAATTCAAAGATACCACTGGGTCAAAATTGATATTTTGTTGATAGACAAATTAGCTGAGGATACAATGTGGGATCCCATATTGAACAGTATATTGTTCAGAATAAAAATAATAAGTGAAATAATTGTTCACAAGCAGAAAGGTGCTTTAAAGGGGTTAAACACAAGTTAACTGTAGAAAATGCTGTAATTTGTAATGGAGATGTAGTGGTTCTGCCTGCAATGCAAAAGAGCAAAATTATAAAAAGCATACATGACAATGTTCATTGCAGAATAATATCTACACAAAGGAGATTAAGGCTAGAGACATGGTGGCCAGGCTATTCTACAGATGTAGAAGAATATATAGAAAGCTGTAAAATTTGTGATGACTAAAGAAAATTTAGACAGACAAAAACACATACTAAAGAGTACCAACCTTGGGACAGAGTACACATGGATCATGCCCATGTTAATGGAGTGGGATTATTACTAATACTGGTAGATTCATATTCAGGCTGGCCAGAAGTAATACAGTTCTCCAACAAAAGAAGTTTAACCATGAAACAAGCATTAAGGGTCATATTTTCAAGAAATGGAATTCCTAAAATGCTAGTATCAGACAATGCGCCAGAGTTCTGTGACAGTGAACTATGTCAATGGCTGAACAGAATTAAATGCAAACCATATACTCCCAGCAGACTCTTTCCAGATGGAATGGAGAATGCCACAATGCTTGAAAGACTCCTTCAGTGTGTCTTTTTAATGTTTCTTTGGTTTGCCAAGTGAATGCTTGCCTGTGGATAGCTCACTATAGAGTGGTCTCTTTGAGAGGTGACAATCATCCATGTGGCACACATGACCAGCCCAGTAGAGCTGATTGCACAGTAGGATGGCACATTTACTCTGGGTCTGGTGACATGACGAAGTCCAGATGACTTTAGTTAGGCCAGAGATGCAGTGGATGGCCAACAGTGTTGTTTCTGTATCACTGTACCCAAATTGTGCTCTGAGACTGCCTTCTTGCTTGTTGATCCAAACGAATGGTTTCATCTGCGCAGTCACCAGGTCCATTCTTCTCCTATTTGCTAGATGGCAATCGATGACCCTCAAGAGTCTACACTCTTTAATGTATTTTGTTTTTGTTTCATCAGAATGTCTAGCCACCCACCTCACAAGTCCCAAAGGGTCACTGATGGGAGTGCCAGTTTAGTCACCAGTAGCACAACCATGGAACAGGTAGTACTGGACTACAAGTTACCAGTACTACATCTTGTAACCTGACCTGACCTGACCTGAAAGAAATGAAGGGGAAAGTGTCATGTTAGGGCAAGGCAAACATAACAGTGAATTGAGAGTGATATAAACTCTGATGAACAATCGTGAGAGGAACACTCCTATGTAAAATGAAAAAGATCATGATACCAGGGAAAATAAGTGAATAAAACCTCTTCAGTACATAGAGATGAGGTGACTCATTTACATATGAAGTCACAAATACTATAAATAGCTACAGCTATTACCCATGAAGCAGTTGAGTGGATACTACTTCCTGTGAGTCAGTAACACTACACTACAAATGTGCCATGTCCCTTCAGGATGTAGGTGATCATGGCTCTGCACATCTTCCTGTCCTTTGTAGCTCTTAATGAGTTTTGTCTTTTAGTTATTTCTCCCAAACATTGTTCTGAACATCCATTTTCTCAAGCCCATCAAGTATGTTATGCTCTGCTTTCTTTTGACCCTCTTTCCCTCTATCTGTCCTGTAAATATCAGATTTTCCAAACTCTCCTTCATCATTACATGCCCCAGAAATTTCAATTGCCTCTTCCTAATTTTAACTATAAGTTTCCTTTTTGTTTCCATTCTCTCCAAAACCTTGTTGTTGCTCACATGTTCAGCCCATGATATCCTCAGCATTATTCTGTCGAACCACATTTCTGTTGCTTCAAGCCTCTACTTCATCTTTGAGAAGATTTCCAGCATTCACTGCCATACAGGAGGACAGATATCACGTAACAGTTCAATACTCTTTTCTTTGTTCCAACAAAATATTTTCTGTCTCTTAGTACTCAGTTCATTAGGCTGATTGTCTGGTGTAGTGTTATGAAAATAGATTTGCTTAGGTCTTCCGGTATATCCCCACTGTTGTAGGTTTCATTTATTATTTCTCTGATCTTGTCTATACTAAAGTCATCTAAGGTTGCCAGCATTTCTATTACAATTCTGTCTGGCTTTGCTGCTTTGTTTCTGTTCAATTTGGCCAGTGCAGTTTCCAATTTGGTTTTAGATATTTCTGGTCTGTCAGTATTTCTGTGTATTGCCAGTTGTTCTCTTTTGTCATGGAAGAGTCCTCTTATATAACACTTAACCCAGTGGTTGATTCTATGTCAGCCTGGCCAGCAGTTTACACATTACTTTTTGTCCATGAGTTCTTGATAAAATACAATTTTCATCCCCCAGACACCATGCTCTCTGGATTTAGCCTCTTTGAACTTTTTTTTTTCAAAGTTGAAATCCACTTTGGAAAGTCATTAATTTCAGATGATAGAAAAGACAGAAAAATATTCAATACAAATCCTTCAAAGTATTCTTCAAAATAAATTCCAGAACTGGTAAAACATTGAGAACAGTGTATCAACAGTGGAAGGGACTATTTTGAAGGAGAAAAGTTTTATTAAGTTGTAGCAATAAAGGTAAAGCAATAAAGTTTAGTATCTTTTTGGACAAGCCTCATAATATTTCAATGTCTTTATTGGTTTTTCTTGTAAGTACTGATTAATAAGTTATAAAATTGAATATTACAGACAGAAGCTATTTAAAATATTGGTGTTCATTAAACACCACCCATAAAATTGTTATTCTAATGCTAAAATATTATCTACTTGTGTATATACAAATATCCTCTATCTTTTATGTCAGCATTTTCTTCATTTTTCTTAGTATGCAACAAATTTTCGGAAAAGTATGGAGTGGAACGACTATCACTAGGTGTTGTGACAAGAAGAATTCTGGAAACTCAACCCAAATCTCATTTATGTTCTAAGATCAGGAGTTATTTATGTAAAGGACTCTTGCTGCCTGATGAGTTAGCTATTGAAGCTCTTGAAATTGTCCTTCTCAATATGACTTGTCAGACCAAAGGGTAAGTCATACATGAAAATTTTAAAAATTCATTTAAAGCCATTAAAAGACATTTTTATTGTTACTTCTCAATTTTTTCTAAGTTTTCATTATATATTGTTAATAATCAAAAATATTTTATTCTACTTAATTAAGTCCAATAATAACAAAATTGTTTGATAATTATGTGGTTATATTGTTATCATTGAAATAGTTTACAATATTTAGTAAAATATCAGTCAGAAAAAAGAGTTTGAGATGAATTTGAGAATATTTTGAAAAAAAAACAAATTTTAGACAGTAACCATAATGATGTAAATGTTTCAAAAGTTGAGAAGTAAAACATTAATAAGTATAACAATGATAGCGATTTGTGGCTTTAGATATCTTGAAATCTTGAAAGTGTTTGATAGGATTTTGAAGTGCTGGCCTTCCTCCCAAGTTTAAGGGTGTCTCTGGTCAAATATTTGACTTAATCCAACCATTCTTAACCATTTGTGTAATGATAGTCATGTTGGACAGCCATGCTTCGAGATAATTTCACATTAATGTAAGGTTCTCCCAAGGCTCTGTTCTTGAACTTACATTGTTAGCTTTGAAAAGATAAGTTTTATTTTGGTAATGTTAAAATTTACAAGCCATTTCTTGCCTCAGTTATTTTTTAGACCTTTCCACTGTCATCAGTTCCCAACTAGGTATTTATGCTGATGATACAGCTTTTTACTCTTGTTTTAATAATCCAATAGGTCCAACAAAGTAAAACTGGCAGCTGCTCTCAGAAATAACCTCCTATCAGTTGTTAACTGGGACAAGAAATGGCTTGTAACTTTTTAATACTTCCAAAATGAAACTGCTATCTTTTAGTCATCATAGAGAACCATTTTTTCCTTCCATCAGCATGTCCAATGTTAGCCTCCAGGAGGGCAACATATTGCATCTTCTTGGTCTCACATTTTCCACTAACATGAAGTAGAGTGATTATATAAAATAGCTCTGCTGCTAGGAGAATTAGTTTACTATGTCACGCCAGACAATTTTTCTTGCCAAAATCCATCTTGCACATTTATGAATCTACCATTCGTCCATGCATTAAATATTGCTGCCATATCTGGTCTGGTGCTTCTGTTATATATCTCAAGATTCCTGAAAAAAATCCAAAGAAGGGTCTGTAATACCTTCAGTCACTATTCCACCACTATGATATGGCTTCCTTCTGTCTTTTCTATAAATATTTTCATGGTAATTGTTCTAATGAGCTCTTCTTGGTACCTTGACTACATAAATTTATGCATACTACTAGATTGGCAAATAGGTTTCACTGTTTTACTGTTGAAATAGCTAGATGTAACCATAAGTTCTACTCTTATAGTTTCTTTTCTCACACTTCAAGTCTGTGGAACTCTCTTCTGGTTTCTTGTTTCTTCACCACCCATGTTCTTTAAAAATTGAAATGTAATGTCAATTGCCATTTTCTGTCTTCCTGAAACCTGTCCTTTTATTGTCTTTTCTCCTCCTTAAAGTCTTCTCATTCTCTTCCATTGCTAGTAACCCCTTGTGTTTTAGTGGCATTATCGTCTTGCTTTGGGTGAAATGATAAAAAAAAGTGAAAGTGAGAATGGCCAGTTTCTTTGCAAGTGTTTGTTATCAAAATAATAGATAAAAGATTTGAGAAATCCAATCATTTTCATCTGTGATTTCTTCTTTATTCTCTAAATTTTAAAGATATATCAATATATATCAGTTTTTTGCAAAAATAATTATTTATGGGAATTTTTATTCAGCAAGAAGTAAATTATTTAAACATTACTCAGTACCAGCTTTATTAATATTGATATTGTTTCTTATAGCAGTTTAGAAAAAGAAAACAATTTTGGCATCAGCCACTTAAAGTTCATGTGCCACTGGTAAATTGTTTCAAAGAGCTTCTGAGATTTAGAAGATTTTTTTCTATATTCACTGAAATTCACTAGTTTTCATTAAAATGCTTCTATTGTTATATACTATGATTGTTATTAATTAGGCATGTCTTCTCTTGCTGGTAAGAGATCACAAAATAAAAGGTATTCTACTGTTATACTAATTCAACATTGTTGTGTGTTGTAAAATCTTCTTTAACAATAGTTTAAAGACTTTATTATTATTATTTTTCATTTCTCAGTGGAGATATGTGATGATTTCCATGCCTTTCAGATCATTTGGCTGAACAGGAAGGAAATCTCAATTAACTCCCAAGTCCAACTCAAAGATAACACTTTTTCATCCATATTACATGGGTAGTCACTCTTCTCACAACTTAGGGAGCATAATGTCCAAAATCTCCATCTGGCCTTGTTGCCTCTCTCCCAAAGCCTCATTAAAGACCCATATTTATATCACTTTGTTTTTGGAACACAACTTCCATGCTACAATTTCCTGGCAGTGTTTCTAAATGATGTCCTGGTCATTTCCAGGTCAGATACCTGCAATTTTGCACTACACAAGGCAGATCATTACATCACATGTCTTACTCCTATTTTTTTCAAATTTATAACTTTTCCAAAGATATGAATTTTATCTTAGTTAATTATAATATATATTTCCTCCTTATCATATCAGCCAAAAACATCAAGTCACTTCAAGATAATACATAAAAGTAAAAATGTCACAAGCATCAACAAACTGCATGCATATTGAAAAAGTGTCTGTCATAAGTACTTGTTGTCACTTGTTTCCATGTTAAAATTTTCATTTGTTTGTCATTTTCTTTTCAATTAATTACAGTAAATCTTGCATATTTTATTTTTACTAAAAGAAAAACATCACAAAATTCTAAATGCACAACAATATTAAACATTATGATCATTAGGAATATAACCTCTATCACAATAACCAGACCACATTAAACTATGCATGTGGGAAAAGTTTACAGAAATAGATACACATGAAAAATACATCTTAAAAATTCAAAAAAAAGGAAAACACACAATAATGTTTGTACATGTAAAAGTACAAGAGAAATTAAATGCAAAAATTGTCTTTCACTTGAAGGTGTGAAAGTTTTTAGTTTTGTGATATAACTTACTTAACTCTTTTCTTTTTTAAAGAAACTGTTCATAGAAAATTTTATTTTATTTTTTGTGTTTGTCACGTTTTTCCATTTAGTTTTGTTTTGGAATTTCAATGATCACTCAAGAAAATTGACAGCACAAAATTTTGGTAAGGTATATTTAATTTCAAGGAGGAGGCACGGTGGAGTAATGGATAGCGTCTTGGATTGAGAAATCGGAGAGCCGAGTTTGAATTCCAGTCAAATCCATTACATTCACTTATGTGCTAATACCCTTGGGAAAGGTATGAATCCTTTTCTTTTCCCCTCAGCTATGGGTAAATAGCAGGACAGACTGGGTTCTATAGCCTTGGATGGCAACTGGTCAAGAAATAGCAACCTACTGTGAGAAAAAATATGCCTCGTCAGTCATGTATCAAAAGTTACATGATTCCCTATGTGTATCATGCATGGCACACAACTGACTGATATTTAATTTTGGGGAGATAGATATTTATTCTATTGAACTTTGTCTTACAGTCATTATGAGGATTGAACTCAAAACACTTGCTAATCACCTCTAAAGAAAATATCCTTTAACTTTATGAAGGTCTACTTTCTTTTACATTTACACTATCTTAATGTTATGCAAGTTTTTCAATACAAAATGAAAGGTTAAGCACAATTTTAAGAATGTCGATAATTAAAAAAAAAACTATATCATTCACTATGCTCAAATATTTTTTATTTCCACATTATATATATTTTTCCAAGATTATTTTTTACTTGGACTTGTTTTCTCTCTTTGTACCATTATCCAGTTATGTTTTTGATGGTTTTCCACTTACAAAACGGCAAATGGAACTAATGACTGCAAGGAAAATTATTCCAGTCAGAGTAATCTTGTTGAATATTGATAGCATTGAAGTTATACAACGAGGAGCATATGATCGACTGAATTTGCCATGGTAAGTTAATGCAAGACATAATCGACATGACTTTTTCATTAGTTACAATAACAGTTATTTTTATAATGCTGCTGCTGTCTCTACTAATATATACTTGTAAGTGTGGTTCAGTAATATGACAGAATGAAAATTGTTTGAAATTTTATTGTAGATGCTATCTTGGTACTTGATTATTAAAGAATAAACTTTAGACCAGCAGTTATCTTTTATTTATTTATATATAACATAGCCTACATAATTAATATATTGTATTGCCAATTATATATTTATTTAAATTCCATGTTTTGTATTTAAAAATAGCAGTGACCATGTTTGCCTGATGAGACTTTGTATGTTCCTGTAGTTTTAGTTTTCTCATTGTGGTTTGTGATACTTAAAGTATCATTCATGTTTTTGTTCATGCTCAAAATTTTCTCATATTTTCAAAACTGGCACTCAGTGCAGTGCCACCAAGCTATTCCCAAATATATTTAATTTCTAAATATTGCACAAGCTCACAAAATGTTTTGTATTCTCTGAAATTGAATTGAAAAGGATATTTGTTGCAGAGATAAGTGAGTGAATTTAGGATTTCTGTCTTGGTTTCAGTTTTTGTTTTCTTCATTTTAAAAAGTGGAATTGTTGGGTTAGAAAGACTTATGAGCTATTATTTAAATCATTATGCATGCTTATCTTGACAGTAGTATTTTAGTGATCACTATCATAAACTAATATCATCATTTTATAGGATAGTTTCTTCAATTCACATGTTTTCCCTTGCTATGATTCACCAGAAAATTTTGCACTGCAACATTTTTATAGCTAAAAGCTTAACTTTATGTCAAACTCTTATGGTAACCTATATAGAAAAAACATTAAAATTTAAAAAATTAGTCTTACTCTGTGTAAAATTGTGAACATGTTTATTTACAATAAATTTATTTGAAAAGAAAAGAAGGGTGTAAAGGCCTGCTCAAAATATTTTTGAGTGCCTACAAAATCTATGCCAAGTAGAGAAAAATGTTCATATGAAAATAGGGCTTACATTAGTTGATAAAGTTAAACATGTCCTTGGTAAAGGGATACAGCACAAGTTCACACATTACAGGAGTCACAAGGTCAATTATAGTAGTGAAGCATCTGTTATGGAATGAGGAAATATGATAGCAGTGATATGCCTTTGGGGAAGGCTTGGTCTGTGTTTACTTCAAGATATTTTCAGAACAAATTGTCAGCTTTTAGTTTTGGTATACTGCTTGGAGTTTTGGTTGACCATGTAGTAAGAACTCTTTAATGTTATAAGTTGTGTCCCTTTGATGTACTGAAGAAGCCAGATTGGCAAAATAAAGCATATAGCAATACCACATGTCTGACTGAATATAATGAAAGTAAATATGAAATACCACATGGTGGCAGTGGTGTGAAGCGCAACAGTCAAACATGAAGAGTCAAGGGTGAATCAAATGATCACGAAGGTGAGAATAACATGATATACATGTGTGTTTTGTTTTTTCTTTGTGTTTTTTTTAAAGAATTGAAAATGGGGCAATTTTAAATATTTCATTGCCAAATTTGAAGTGGCCTAATGAAAATAAGCAAGAAGTTCTTTTATGTCTTCTTACTTTATCATTAACAATATAGATGAAAATTAAAATACAATTATATTTTATTGAGCACAAGGTCAAAGGGTCAAAAATTAATAAAAAAAATGGACAAAAGAAGTATCTGCAAAAATTTCTCATAAACAGATGCTAGATAATTTTAAAAGTTAAATACAAAACATAGATACTAGGTAACACATCTTGATGAAAAATCAAGTCTGCTCACATTTTTTAATACACTTTTTGGTAGGTACAGGTACTAAAGGTGTCCCAGGGCATATATCAACAAAAAATGGACCAAGTACTATAAGGTTGTGCAGGAGCTATTGAAATGTCTGATGATATCTGAATATGTGACAAAACAATTGAAGAACATGATAAGAACTTGAGAAAAACAATGGATAAAATTTTATGGTCTTGTTTGGAATGAGAACAGATTCAGAAAAATGTGACAAAATGAAATCAAAGCTCATACCTCTAAACTGAAAAGAACTTCAGCAATTTATAGATATAATCCAATACCTAAGCAGAACTTAGTTCCAAAATATCTCCATTGAGGTCACTACTCAAGAAAGATACCTATCTTTAAACCTAATGCAAAGAGTGATTCAAGTAAATTCAAGCATGTTAGGCCTAGGTGCAACATTAATCAATCATAGGAAAATTGTTGCATTTGCTAGCAAGAGACTGACTGATGCTGATCAAGATATGCAAATATAGAAAAAGAGCTACTTTCAGTGGTGTTTGCATGTGAAAGATTTCATACATATGTATACCACAAACCATTGGAAAATATATAGAACAAAAATGTTGCACAAGTAGTCCCAAGACTGCAAAGAAGATTGTTAATGCTACAATAGTATGATGCTCAAATCATATACAAACCAGGCAAAGAAATGAGTTCCAGATTATCTATCAAGAGTACACACAACACAAGGCAAAGAAATGGAACTAGATATAACAATACATAATGTTGATATATCAGTGCAGAAGCAAATAGATTTACAAGAAACTACAGAAGAAGATTGAGAATTGAGAATGCTAAAACAAATGATAATAAATAAGTGGCCAGAGGCTGTGAAAGATGTACCCAAACTTATAAGAAATTACTGGTCATTGAAAGAATGTCTATCAGTACAAGATGGCTTGGTGACTAAAGATGAATGCATAGTCATACCAAGAAGTATGAAGAACAATGTTCTCCAAAGGATTCATGATTCACATCAAGGAAATGAAAAATGCCAACTCAAAGCAAGAAATAGTGTTTATTGGAGAGGTATACACAAAGACATCGAAATGCTAGTAAAATCATATGAGATATTCAATGAATACCAAAGAAAAACACTAAGAAAACAATGATCATTAAAGAACACCCAACCAGCCTATTTGAATATATTGAGGCTGACATCTTTGAATCCAATAGTCAACAATTTTTCTTGTTGCTGACCAATACAGTAAAATGCCTTTTATCAAGACAATGAAAAACATCACTAGTTCAAACTGCATCAAATACTTAAAAGCAATTTTTGCTGTTCATGGTACTCCAAAATGCCTTTATACAGACAATACCATGTCTTTTGTGTTAAATGAGTTTCACAATTTTGCCATTGAATGGGAATTCATGCACATCACATCCAGTGCAAGATAACCTCAATAAAATGGTTTCATTGAATGAATAGTCCAAATAGTAAAAAAAGCACTAGGAAAAAGCAAAACAATCAAAATTAGACTATCAAATGACTTTTCTATGCCTAAGAGCAACCTCATTGGACAGTCACTTGCTGTCACCAGCAGAGACCCTATTCAACAGAAAAATAAAAACAAGGGTTCCAACTATATTGAGAACTAACACCCCAAATGACAATGAAATCTGAGAAAGGATGAACATCAAAAGCAGGAAACAGCAACAATGTGATAATAGAAATACAAAAGACCTTCCTGAATTGGCTATAAGCAGCAAAGTGTTCTTCAAGAAAATAGCACATGGCAACCAGCTACAGTTGTAGATAAATGCATAGAACCATGTTAATTGTTAAAATGTTAATTGATAAATTGTTAATTGTTGCATTGTTAAAATGCACAGCAATGGAAGAGTGCTTAGATGCAACAGATGCCACTTACAGGAACTATACAAATCACAGAGAGGAGCCACTTTCAGTTTGCCAACTCAAAGGATTAGACAAAATGATCCAACATTACTATCACATGATTACGGACCCCACATCAAACAGTAATAATCTATCTACTACAATTGAGCATATCTAGCCTACACAGACTGACCATAATAATAGGCCAAACACCAATACCATCAAACTGCTCTATGAGAACAAGAAAGCCCCCAAGATAGGTTAAAGACTTTGTCATGTACAAATAAATAAACAAATAATAAAGTAAAAGAATAATTTTTATTTATTAATATAAATAAAAAAAATATTTTTTTGTAAACCAATTTTTTCTTAGGTAGAAGGAAAATAGACAATAACTTTATTTTCAAACACAATGAGTATAATTTCAAAATATTGATTTTGTTGTTTTATATTCGAAATTCAAGTAACAACATATTATTTCTTTATATTCTGTTTTTTCCTATTTGATTCAACATTATCAAAATTACTCTAATTATGACCTTGAGTTTATAAACACTCTGAAATGTTTGTATTGGATCTTCTGGCATGGATGGCAAGCAGTACAGCATCCTGTTTACAAATTTCTGACAAAGTGAATTACGTCATGGTGCTCTTTTTCTCACAGAAAGTGCCCTGCTGGAGTTATTTTTATGTATTTTTATATAAAAAATAATACAATTCACAATAAAAGATGAACATTAACATAACCCAAACTCTGTAGTTGATGATAGTCAGTGTCAGGATTTCCATTAATACATATTACAAGTTAAGAAAGAATGTAAGTGATCATCTTTCATCTATTGTAATACAGATTTATGACTCTAATATATGAAAGATATATTGTCTTGTAACTTACTAAGATACTCTTTAATATGCATAAGCATATTCATTCTTTTTCTCTACTGTAGGGCAACCTTGTATATAAAATATGGAATGATCAATGTTACATTCAGCTATGAGGTCTGGCATATGTTGGTTTAATCAGTATATTTGGCACCATTTTATACTGTTGGCTATTATTTTTTGTTTACACTACCTAAAGATAACCCCCAACTCCAAGCATACACATTTACACTTCATACAGATTGTTCCCCTAAGAAGGCTTTATTGGATTGCTTGAAACATTGTAATAAGAATGAAACCAAAAGTTCAAACAACTCTTGGAATGAAATTAAGTCATCTCAAAATTACTGAAGTTATTGAAACAAATTTTTATCAAAAATATTTTACTTCAAAGTATCAGAAAGATTTCTTGACTCGTATGAATTACTTAGACATATAAAACCCAAAAGTTTTAATTATTAACTACGTCATTAATATTTCCTGAGAAGATGAAAAAGTTCTGTTATAAACTGAAAAAAAAACTTAACTTTCAATATAGCAAAAATAACCAAAATAGTATTAGCAGTTGTAATAACAGTAATGTGTATAGGAGTGGTATTATATTTGAAAACTATAATTCCTGTTCAATTTACAACTGATGCTAATAGTGACAATTATAATGATTCAAATGCAAAATGATTTTTTATCTGAAATGAAATGCCTGTTATTGTTACTAATTAAGCATCATACATGTACTTGTGAGAAATATTATTTTTATATATTAACAACTACATACTTCCTTGTAAACTATTAGTCAAAATAAAAACAACTGCTTCTAAAATTCAAACCGAATGTTTTACATTTTACATTCCCAAATCTGCATGCTTCATTTTAAATTTTCCATTTTTTCTTATTCTCTTTCAGTCCTTATCTTAAGCATGACAGTGGACAAGTGTTAGCTATGAGATATCAAGTTTTTCAGAGAGAAATCAAGCCTGTGATAGAATGGTATGAAAATGAACACCAAAATCTCTACAACATCAATGGCATTCAATCCAAGTGGGCTGTATGGGAACAAGTAAAAAAAATAGCTTTGGATAGTATTTGGGATATACAAGACTATTTGTTAAATATCAAAGAAGGTAAGGGCAAATATCACGTTATTTCATTTTATAAATTACCTCTTTTTTTATTTTGTTGAGGTCTGTTGGATGTGGTAAACAGTAAAATTTGTGCCATTCATGGCACAAATTTTACTGTTTACCTTTTTCAACCAATTAGTCACATGAGATATTGCTCATCATGAATTGAGGTACACTGCTAAAAGAAAAATTTAACATTGTATTTAATTACTGGGCAAAGTTTAGCATATATACCTGCAAAAAAACAGTATGTCAAGAAATTTTAAAAATTTTTAATAAAACCCAAACATCTGAAACTGGATTTATACATTTTAATTTTTTCTCGAGAATTGACAGGAAAAATATTAAATATTATTTAACTATTAGATTGTTTATTTACAAGAATAATTTTATATTTATAAGATTATAAAAATATGTGAACCAGCAACAATGAAATATTTATTTACAATTTTATAAAGAAAAAACAATTTTTTATGCATAAATTTATAAACATTTTTTGAACAAGAGAACAAGAAAATTTAAATAAACACATAATTATGAGTAACTTTAATTATAAATTTTGAAAAAATGTAATTTTCAGATATTTCCTTTGCTCTTACCACATAAATTCACTAAAATAGGTTGTGAGCATCTTGATTTTTTTTTTTTTGAGAATTGACAACAAAAGTATTATGCACTATTTATTTATTAGACTGTTTATTTTCAAGCATAGTGTTTTAATACTTAGTTTTCAATTCCTGAGAAAAAGAGAATACATAAATCCAGTTTCATATGTTTTGGGTGTTTTCAAAATTCTAAAAATAACTTTTTAAAATAATAAAAATTGACAAAGGAGTGTACAATAAAAGCAGTATCAACCATCCTTTTGACACAGTTTTTTTGCCTGTACATATGTTAACCTTTATCACTCTGTATGTGACTTCATTTGTTTTACAAAAAGTTTATCCTGCCACTGAAGGTGATTCTGATCCCAGAACAATAGTGTGTTTGAATTTTATAGTTGTGCTGTCATATCCTTCTCTGGCAACAGAAAACAACTTTGAGTAAAATTGACAATACAGATACTGCAATTGAGGGGCCTTGAAAAAGAATGCAGTGGAAAGAGAAGTAATATTAATAATGCAGTTACGCTTATCCAATGAAGTTTCATCTCATTATTTTATGGTATGATGTTGGAAATGTTTGGCCAGCAGATCAAAGGGAAACAACTCCAAGACAAGCTACCAAAACGTAGGTTATGGGAAAATCGTTACATGACAAGTCAGGCAGTCAAGAAAATATATCACAGAACCTAATTTCTGTATTCCAGAATAAAGATCACCCAAATATTTACATAAGCATAAACAGAAATCGTTTATGAACTTCAGTGAGAAATTTGACATTGGAAATTTTTCACAAAGTTGGAGATATGTCGGAGTTACCTCCTCCTAGGCTCCTTAAACCGGAAGAGAAACAGGTCATTTCGACCTTGACCTCACGGTTGTGCTCCCTACACGCTGTTAACACGAGGTAGAGACTAGCAAGTTACCTTTTCAGTGTAGTTATATTACAAACCTAGTCATAATATACTTCTAGACATTTTTAGGCCTTAGTTTCCTTTTAGCTAATCTCGACTTATTTTTTTAGATAGACTTTACTGTGTTAGCTTTGCCAATCCTCTTGCTAGTCTCCCTTACCACAAGACAGTGACTTCTCCCTTAGCGAGAGAGCTGCTTGATTTTGTTCCAATGGGCAGAATACAGTGGTCTCCCTGCATTTTGAGGGTTTGACGGGCCCTACTAACATCAGTTAATGTTTAATTTCATTTATGTTAATATTTTAGTTCGTTATTGGGCTCATCCCCCCCCCCTCATCTTTTCATTTTAGAATTTTGTACATATGTGTTAGGATCATTAAATAATTATGACACGGGGCACGTTTTGTAGGTCTCCCTAGAGTGGATGTGGTATTATGGTGCATGGAGGATCGATTGGTGACGGACGAGTTCTTATGGTGAATGAGTAAATTGTAATGTCTGAATGGGTCATGAATCAAATTAGCTAGGTATAAGATAGTTAGTGAAGACCAGCCTTTTACCCCCACCCCCTTTTCGGCCTTGTGCCACAATTTTGTATTTTTACAAAATAAATCCTGGTCAGCGACTGAAATGGTCAGATACGCAGGCTCCTGGCCTTCGTGGCTAGGACGTCGACACGGGCTGCGTATTAACTTAATACGACCGCCCGGGTCGACGCCCCAGCCACGCCCTATTTTTTTTTTGTCTGCCAACTTGACGATAGTTGGAAACTTTCCTTCTCTCTCTCCTTCACCTACTACTCCTGGCTCCTTGACCCTGTTTGACACTCGGCATTTCGTCCCTACTGGCTGCCTGCACGTCGTCCATAACCTTTCCTGTACACTACGTTAGTAATTATTACGGGAGGTTACTAATATCGGACTCGACCGGCAAACACGCAACCCCTGCACTGGACCTTTGACATGCCTGAACAACGCCAGCTCCTCTTTCCTTCCCAACACATCAAGTTGGCATCCCAGCAACAACCAACATCAACCTCAAACTACAATGACCAGCAGCGATCATCTGCAACGACCAGCAGCGATCACCTGTAACGACACCTGTAACAACCAACCTCGACCATCAATGCCTGCACCGGAACATCTGCATCTCTACCGTTCCGACCACCTTTATTTCTTATTACTTTTCTAGAATAAATTAGCTTATATCTTATATATCCTTGTTCTGTCGTCTATGTTGTTTCACCTTGTCAGATTTAAACATCTTCAAAAATGCTAGCGGGCCTCTTGTGACCTCATCACCCTTTTGTGATACTGGGGCGCTCAAGGGGTCCGCTACAGATATCTGAGATGTAAATCATAAATTGTCAAGATGATTATCTGTCAGTCTTGTTCTTGATTTTTTATTCAAGAAAAAAATTGTTTACATTTATAACTACTACCAAGCATGGTAGCATATCTTCTAGGGAAATACTACTATGGGATAGTATACTTTAGGAATAATTGGATAAAACTGCAGTAGAGCTTCATCTTTTGTCAGAGAAGTTCATCACCATGATATTTGATTGTTCACATTTGCAGTTCCTTTCATGCTATATTCTCAACATGAGTATTAAATTGATTTGAAAGAGGCTGAAAATCAACTTCTCTTGCTTTGAGGTCATTAAATCTAGAGTTCAGTTATTTTTGCAAATCCTTTAACTCGTATATGTATTCAGATTCTTTAATGTGAAGAAAGGAAAAGTATTACCAGTTGTGAGTTGATTCTGCTAAATTTGATGTTTCATTTCAAAAGCTTTGACGTGAAAATACATTTCATGAATTGCATTGATTTCCTTCCACAATTTTAAATTAAGAGTATTTAAATGGGTGGATGATATCTGTGAAAAATGAAAGATCACAAATACAGTCATTATTCTTCAGCATAGAGACAAATTTATCTCTCATTTCCAAGAAGCAGGCTATAAAAGCATTGAAGAATCTTCCATAGTCAACAAACTGCAAAATAGCATATCAGATTACCATACTCAGATTCAAGTTCTACTAAAAATTCTTTAAACTGGTGATGAATAAGTGTTCTAGATTTTATGATGTTGATGCTTGAAAGAAAGATACACATAGCATTTTATAATTTTGCCAACCTGGCACATAAATTCTCTTGCAAATCTTTTGCAATGAAATTTTGTAAAGTTTCTTAAATTTAGAGAAGCTAATTTGGATTTGAAATTAGCAAGAAAGCTTATCTTCAGGCCAACAACTGCAGGTGCCCCATCTGTTAACACACTGACTAACCTTTCAAGGGAGAAATTCAACATTGTTATTGTTTCCTTCATAGATATTGTTTCCTGCAACCATATCTTTCATTGTTTGAATACAAAGCATCACTTAAGTGATATTAAAGACTTTATCAACACCACATAAAAACATTTCAAATTCAGCTAAATCTGATACATTGTTACTTTTGTCAATAGCCAGTAAAACTGTACTAAATTCAGTTAATGATTTTTTTTTCTATTAGCATAAACTTGATATTGGCTGTGATTTCTTCAATCCATTTTTGAGACAAACTAATTCCTTAATTTATTTTTTTTACTTTTCCAGACACAAAATTTCAGCAACTGACACAAAGTGGTCTTTCACACATTCACCATTTGAATAATTTTTAGAAGTAACTTTTTCACTAATGACATAGCTTGCATATGCAATTTCTGTGAGCTCTATTTACTTTTTAGAAAATAAAACATTTAGGCTACCAATCTGCTTCTTTAGTATCTTAATATTAAACTTGCTAATATTTCCTTTGAATTGTTCATTTCAGAATGTTTATTAGTGTAAACAGTTTTGTTAAATTCTTTAAGTGCAAAGTGGCATTCAGAATAGATAAGATGCATCAGTCTGTGTTTCACTCCAACAAAGAAATAATAATTTGTTCATGCATGAATTTTTTCTCTTTGTTCAAAAACCTTCCATGGGTTGACTTTATCAAGAATTAAAATTTAAAAATTACAGCACTTTAAACACTCTTTGAAAGTAAACATCACTAAAAATTTCATAGCAGAAGATGGTGGATGTTTTTTTTTTAATTTTTCTAACATGTTTCCCACCTACAATGCAACAGGTAATAATGTGAGATGAATAATTATTAATATCAATGATTTATAAAAATTCATTTAATAGGAAAAAATTAATAAAGGAAGATTACTCTAGCATTTAATAGTTAACACTAAATCAGTGTAAAGAAACAAATAAAAAAAGAATAAAACGCTATTATATTAGCTTCATCATAAAATTACATGTCCCATACTGAAAGCCAAAATATTTGCTATGACTGGTTTATATCTTAATCTGCTTATTAACTGAAGAGTAATATGTGGATTAACAAGCAGTTATGTCAATGATTTTTCATACATATTCTTTGCTAGAAAATTTACTTTCTTACTGTAATTTTATATATTTGTAAAAATTAACATTACTTGCTGGTATCTCGTGTCAAAATAACTAAACTCTAGAACTCCATGTGTGCGATATTTTAATCCAGCCAAACTTTTCCCCTTTCATAAATCTGTTTAAATAGATTGAATATCAAGAATTTGATTTGACAGATCCACAACACAAAATATTTCCATTTAATTCTGCATTCTTCATTTCTATAATCATTTTCACCTTTACTCTCTCGTCTTATGACATCATCATTATTTTTATTCTTTGCAATAATTCCTTTTATTATTTTCTTTAATCTAATTGAATACTTAATGTAGCTATAATAGTTCCATCAACTCTTGATTACTTTTGCTTCTGATTATATATTCAGCTGAATATGTAACTTATGTGATTTTCTGTTTTCATTCATTAGATAACATTTTCTCCTCTGGAGAAAAATTTTAATTTTTGCTGAAACTAATAATATCTATTAAGTAAAAATGTGAGCCCATCATTTTAACTTGGTTATAAATACTAATAATCATGATATTAATCCACTTGGATTTTTTTTTAAATCAGTTATCATTGAGAAACAATCATGAACATATTTTATCTTACAATTAAAAAGGCTCTCCTTTCACTTTTATTGTTCTTGATACTCACCATTGAATACCAACAAGGAAGAAATTTACTCTTTACTTGAAATAAGTCTGCTCTCTAGCCTATGTCATTTACAATAATAAAATACTGCATTAAAAATGAGACAATAAAATCTCAATCTTGATGGAAATACAGATTGTAGAAGTTGTAAACAATGAATGAACTGTATTACTATCATATTCTTCTAATTCAAATTTGACAATATTTTTTCAAAATAACATATAATCAGGATATTCATATTTTGCAGGTAAAGCTGCTTCTCTCAGGGGAATGTGTGTAACCAACAAAGATTTTATGGAGCGCTTAGGAGACTTTGGTCAGTTCTGCCCAGTCAGTCTGGTTTTGCACGAAGAACTTGTTGACTGTTCCAAAGATACTTCAATGGATTTAGCTGCTGAATACAGAGGTGTGTTTTTAATATTATTTAATTAATTATTATCATAAATTTCTTCAACTTCAATAGAAAGTGTTTATATTCAAAAGACAAAAATACTAAAAAGTATATTGTTTGAATTGTAGAGAAAAATTCTTAAAATCTTTAGTTTTCATTTCACATACTCAAATTGTCATCACTTTAAAACAATCTTAGCTTTTGAGAAAATAATAAATGTTTGCAAATAGCATGTTGACCAGATGATTACTTATGTTGCAGTTAAATGGACATTATTTTTATTAATGTGTTTGTTATAAAATACTATGATTTGGGTATTTAAAAAAATAAACATAGAAATATCTTTCCATGATTTTATTTTTTTTCACTTTGCTGTGACTATGTTTATTATATCAGTCACTTTAAATATTTCTGCAACAAGTGAATTAAATGATGACCACAAGTCATTTAGAATTTATTCTAATAATTGCAATAAAAATAGTCACATAAATTTCCAACATTAAGTATAGAATTAAAAAAACCTACTTAAAATATTCTATTTTTAAAAAAGTAATCCCAGTTTAGAGTTCCATGGAAAATGTTAAGCTATTTTTCACTGAAATTTTTCAGATCCACATAGATAAGATGAATATAGATCTGAATACTAAGAAGCAACGCAAGTATCAATTTACTAAAATTGTAAAGTCTTATCTATAAGGACACATTAATTTAATTGATTAATTCTGTTATAAAACAAATTTAAATGCAAATGAGAAAATTTGGAAGAGTCTAAAGAATATTATTCAACATTTGATGAAATTAGTGTTTACAAATATTTCTTACAAGATTGTCAAAATGAACAATTGGATTGGAACAACAATCTAGTGTTTTGCAGTAGCAGCACATGAAAATGTGATTTAATTTCACACATGACTGAAATTCATTATATAAATAAATATTCTAAAATATTTTCAACACATCTTTATGATTTGTGTGTGGATTGGGAATTTTAAATGTTTTTATGTTAAAAGTGAAAATGCACAAAAATGAAAATAAGATACTTTTTCATCATTTGATGTTTTTTTTTTATTTCCAGAAAGTAAAAATATTGTACAAATACCAAAAAAAAAATGTGCCATTTATGGAAATGGTGCCATAGCCGAGAGTACTGTTCTTAGGTAGTTCACTAAGTTCAGAAGTGGAAATTTTGATCTGGAAGACCAAGAATGTTCCAGAAGCCTGTAGTCATTGATCTTGACAAAATCAAAATACTATTTAAAATAATTCAGGTCACATGACACAGCACTTCACACATATCTCATATGAGCAATTTAAGGCATTTAAAAACTAGAATATGTGAATCACTGTGATATTTGTATACCTGATGATTTAAGGGAAAACATCTTATGGACTGCATTTCTGTCTACATTTCTCTGCTCAAACATAACAAAAATTACCCATTTTTTAAAAGAATGATCACAGGTGATGAAAAATAGATTGTTTACAACAATGTAGAGTTAAAAATGTTCTAGGAAAAATGAAATGAGTTAACACTTACCACTCCAAAAGCAAGTATTCATCCAAAGGTGATGTATCTGGTAAGATTGGAAGAGCATTATTTATTACAAGCTTCGTCTGCAAAATCTGATGTTGAATTCAGACAAGTACTGTTTCCAGTTGGAATGATTAAAAGCAGCAATCAATGAAAAGCATCTGGAAATAGCCCATCTTCCATCAGGACAATGCCAAACCTCATTCCTCTTTGCAGACCTAGCAGAAACAGTACAGATACACCCACTATACTCATCCAACCTTGCATCTTCAGATAACCACTTATTTTGATTCCTACAAAATTCTCTTAATGGAAAGAACTTCAATTCTCTGGAAATCTGTAAACATCACTTAGACTAGTTCATCACCCTGAAGAATGCCAAGTTCTAAAAGGATGGTGTCATGAAGCTGACTTAAAGATGGAAAAAGTTAGTGGAATAAAATGGCACATATGTGGTTGAATAAATCTTTGTACAAATATCTAAATATTGTCTTTGAAATTAACTTAAAAATTGCTACAAAATTTTATTTTGACCCAATATAATTTCTGAGGGGATCAAGAAAATTTGTTGCACAATTTAGTTTCAATGAAAATAAAAATAGATAAGAATGAACATCTCTGCATAGTTAACTTAGTCAAATAAAGAGTTTCAGAAAAACTACTGGAAAAATGGTGTTTGAAAGATTTGAAACAAACAAAGCTTAAGTTTGGTTATATAATTTTTTTTTTCCCAGTGAATTTTGTTTGTTAGGTATGTTATTTTCCTGAGTTTATGCTGTAGATTTTGATAATCATTTCTACAAAAAAAAATAAATATTTTCAAAATTCTTTAAATAGAAAACTTGCATATCATTGAAATTAATCAAAATATTTCAAAGAATTATAAACACATACATATATAGATAAATTTTTATGTTGTTGATTTCCAACTTTCTTTGAACAGAATGTATAATATTGCTGAACATATTTCCATCATTAACCTCAGCTTTGTGTAAAACCATCTCTCCTTTTATTATTCTTTTCTATTAGGATATTACTACAAAATGGCCAACAAAGAAAACTTGCAATTATTCATGGAAGAACCTGAAAAATTTGTTCCTCCAAATGCGCCCCACGTATTGCCTCCCGTTGAGTTGTTACCCAGACGTCTTGTACCTCAAGAAGAAGAAATGGAGCTTGAATTGAAGGGATATTGTCCAGTAACTTTCTTGGATGGAAAATGCAGGTAGACTTTTAAATAGCCACTCAATTCTTTAACAAATTCACATCATTTTCAAATGTAAAAATAAATGTAGTAAACAAAGCAGTTTTTAAAGAGATGGATTTTTTATTTATTAATCTGACAGATTTTATTACTTAAACATTATTTTTAGTGGATACTCATATTTGCCTAGACACACCATTTATTTATTAAACAGTATATTTATTTATTTTCATCTACTGGCCTGAATATTCAAGAAATCTTATTAGAAAAAAAATATGTGCTCTCCAGCAGGATTTAAACATGCATTCCCTTAGGAGAAACCATCTGAAGCACATCAGATCTAATGATGGTTTCCCCTAGGGGAATGCAGTTTTGAATCCTGTCAGAGGGTGCATATTTTCCTCTAATAAGATTTCTCAAATATTCGGGCCAGTCGATGAATTATATTGACAGCTAGAGCATTTGTGATACCATATTGAGAGCCAGGTAATTAAAACTAATTAGCAACATACAGACCTAGAAACAAGGAAACTCAGGTTTGAAATTTTGAGTTTTTCTCTTTTTAGGTGTTGATGTTAATAATATTCTTATATTTGTATAATATCCTATATTAGGAGGAAAATTCAAATCAGAAAACAATTCTTCTTCTTACTGATATACAGAGTTCTCATTTCTTGTAAGTATCAACAAATATTTTATAAGAAATATACTAAAACAAATATCTTCTAAGATCAATCATAAAAATTACTTTTGTTTCATTTTTAATTTAATTTTCAATCTCTTAAATCATTTTTTAGCTAAAGGGTCATTGTGAGATGTAAAAATAGTCAAATGTAGTAACTTCAGCTAAGTGAAAGGTAGACAAAAGACCATAGAGTTTAGTTTGATTGATTGATATGTCTTTATTGACATCTTTATTATCACTAGTATTTACAATATCTTTTAATTATGTAAGATGAGTATCTTTTAAGTTTCTGAGAAGAAAAACTATCATTATTAGACTCTGATTTATTTGAACTGTTGTTCTCATTTTGACTCTAATAGTCACTATGTTTCAGTCACTGAATTCTCTATTATTTTAGCATCTGTCTTATTCAATAATATTCTCAGAATAGTGAAATTAGTGGTGTGAAAGGAAAGGGGTGGAGTTGATCACCAACCACTACAGAACACAGACAAAATAATAGAAAGCAACATTGGAAAATAAGGTAACTGAAAAAAGCAATACACATGCTAGGCTCTGATAAAATTGACAAGCATAGAATTAAACACCTGAGTGTCTTTGAATAGATATTAAGTTTAAGGCCAGAAAATTATACCACATAACTAAGGCTACAAAATGGCACTATTTACATACAGACTATTATCCTCATGTTTGTTGCTGTTGTCATAGCATTTCAGCCATTATACTCTTCAGCCATCATCAGATGTATGTTGATCTTGGTAACATACAGAGAATTTCAAACTGAACCCATTATTTAATCCACGGGAGTAGATTGTTCTTGTTTCACTGCCCATGACTAGTGATATCTTGTTTAGTTCTTATTTTAGTACTGCTCACTTCTACTGAGTCCAAATGCAGACTTCTCGGTTCAATGATTGAACTCACAATTACTATGTCATCAAATTCAAGAACTAGTACAGTATAATCCATTAGACTATTGCCACTAGACAATGTAACATCTCTTGATTTTATTCATGGAAAAAGTGTTCCTATTAATATGAATAACTGAAGAAATACAAATATATAGAGAATATTAGCCTTAAAAATTGTTAACTTATTTCCCATTGTAGGGATACAAAGGCGATTATCTCCCTTTGGTCAAGATAAGACACATGGACCACATGATGGCCACTTAATGACATCACTCTATACAGTGATGAAAGCAGCAGTCACTTTCAGTTTGTTTATAGCAGGCAAACCAAGCAGTTGATTTTTTTTTTTTGCTGAAGCTAAATCTGCCTTCTCTAGCAAATGCTACAGTTTACAAGTCCCTGGTGCCATTTCCTTTTGGGAATATATCCTTCCTAGATATAAAAAGAAACTTTGGATTGCAGTCCTCAATTTAGGAAAACCCAAGACTTGTTGTTTCCCCTTCATGGAATATGTATTCACCAGGGACACAGTATGAGAATCCAGCCCATTTGAATCTAGAGTCCTAAACATGGATCTCCATATTATTTGTAAGACCCTCCCTCTTTTTTTCTCCTTACACTCTGTAGATATATGATATATTGTTCTACATGTGAGACACTTGTATATATGTATATATAGATTTGTATATGTCTTAGTGGTATAAAAGTCTCTCTGGGAACAAAGCATGTTTGTCATTCCTTTTCCTTTCAGCCATTCTGTTCCATCTCTGAACTATGGTGTCATTATATCATGGATATAGTAATGCCCATAATGGGGGAAAATATAAATGGAAATTAAATAAATAATTTCTATAGTTCTTTCCTGTTATACCATGAACAATTTCAGGATTCAGGTTTTTTGTCATATAAGGACATTCAGTCAGCAGTTTTTTGACTTGATCTCTATTATAAGTTTTGTTACATGATACTCAATGATATTCATATCCAATTATAACTGATACATAAATATCAGCTAATAGCACATTTATCTATAATCATTCAAAGCTAATATATGCAATACAATATAAGTAAGTCCATGCATCATACACATAAAACCAACTCCAGATGATAGCATGTTCTTTTTTGTTTATATATATATATATATAGAGAGAGAGAGAGAGAGAGAAAGAAAGAGAGTGTATCTTTGTGGAAAACTTCATCAGTAAGAATATGCTTGCAAGTAATTCTCATGCTTACATAACTTCAAATATCTTGAACTAACTTCTCAATACTAATTTTCAGTGTTATTTTGATGTTTTTTCTTTTTTCATTTATACTCTTTTACAGATATGAAGCTATAATTCCAGGGAAAAAATCTTTGATTGTAGAATATAAAAATAAATTCTACTCTTTTGCTTCAGAAGAACAACTTGATAAATTTATGAGGTATTTGAACTTTAATTAAAAATGTTACAACACCTAACAAACTCCACACACTCCAATGCATTCAAGTATACATGCACACACAAGTTTAAAATAAGTCAGATATCAAATATTTATATAAAATTTAAATTTTAACAGGTTTATATTTTTGAAATACAAAACTATTATATAAATATATAAGCAATGTTCTTTCTTGTTTATCTCATATTTTTCAAAGACATTTTTTATTTATTCAATGTAAAACAAAATTATAATTTCAGATATAAAATGTGAAAAACATTTTTATCTATAGAAACTTTATCAAATAGTATTTAACAACTAATCGGCTTTATTTTATAAGGTTAATTTCCAAGTTTTTTTAAAGTAAAAGTGAAGTAAAAGTTGTTATTTTCTTTTGATAAACAAAATACAGTTCAAATTCTAAAACTATATTTTATAGTTGATGTTATCTAATAATATATGGTTATAAATCTTTTGTTGCAAGACATAACAATAGAAATAACTTGTTACAATTTAATTTTTTATAATGATAAACATCTGCACTTGTATAGAATTTGCGAAGCAAGAAAATAACTATTCTTTATGTTTGAGGGGTGCTGAAAAGGTCTCTGCTTACCTGCTTCCCAAAATGTGACTCAACATCAGAATTTTTGGTGGGGAAAGGATTTCTTGGTCCAGCCAAGAAATTTTCAGAACCCCCTTCAGATATATTTCACAGATATGCCCTTATACATCTTTAAAAGAGACTGTCGCAATAATGTATATTTCCAGATTTTTCTATTTGTTTAATGTCAGTGAAAAAAAAAAAAAATGAGATTTGTTAGCTTATTCAAAAATTTTTATCTCCTGTTACTTGCCTTTGAATTGTTTCATCTGAATATAAAATTAAACTATACTCACATTTTAAAATGAAATCAAATTTTAGGTTTCAATAAGTTATCTCCAATCTTCTTACTAATTGTAGTTTTTATTTTTCACCAAAATATGTTATTGAAACAATCAGGAAATGGGAATTTATATTTTACTTTTGAATGAATGCAAATATTTCATATATTCTCCCAAAATGTTTAATAACAGTTCATCAAATTATGAGGAATTGTTCACCAATTAAGTTTACTGATTTACAAACAAAATTTATTTATTCCTAATCCATCCTCTGTAGATGATTGCAAAACATTCTGATCAAGATCTAATAAAAAGTGAATATTTAATTACTATCCCTCATAAAATTAATTTTCTTTAAACTTATAGCATATTATAATAAATTTTAGTTAAACTTATGTTATATTCCGTATTTAGTTACGTGGGCGATGTGAAAACAATGTGGGCGAAATACTGCGTTTGGTTGCAAACAATGAAATTCAGAATCGAAAGAACAAGAAAGACTGTAGATATATTTTATAGTCCTTTTAGTGAGGAAAATAAGAACAAGTAAAAGGTTCATATTTCAGAAGTTGAATGTCTATGGTAGTGGCAAGTAAAGTTCGTGGAGTTAACTTGACTTATGGAAGGGGAAAGGTACCCTTTGACAAAGCGTAGGACGAGAGTTCATTAGCAGCAGCAGTCACATGCTTCGTTCGTTGCCGGGCCAGTATGTCGGGAGCGAGCGACGTGACCCTTCTGCCTCCGCTGTTGAATTGGACTCCCTTTTGACTTTCCCGTGTTGAACTTATACACGCCTATTGGCTCCAAATGGCAATTTTTTGACTACGCGGGAGACGGTCCGATCAGTTGATTTAATTCTTTCATTTTTTTTTTGAGTTTATCCCAAACGGAAGTATCTGCGTCGAGCCTATGCGTAGACGTGCAGTTTTCATTTCGAGTCAGGGACTCGTGATGGTAACTTCGTTTATCGAAGCAGGGCAAGATCTCATCTTGTAACACTTAGAAAATCCATTCCTGAAGTCAAATGTCAAAACAAAATTCAAAATAAGAGAATATGTAAATACTTTACATATTAAATGAAAGTCTTACAAGAAAAATAAACTAGTTTAATAGTCTGTTACAATGCTTGATTAAAATGTCATCAATAAAAACATATTTTAAACTTTATGTAAGCTTTGAAAAATATTAAAAGTATATTTTTTGAAAAATTGTTTTTGTTTTTCATATTTGCTTTCTAAAACAAAAGACAATGAATAGATGAAAAAAGATCAAAAGATAAATATAACAGATCACAGAATAATATTTTTATTAAGCTTTGTCAATTAATTTGGTTTTGCAGGCTTCCTAGAAAGTATAGTGACTTGGAGCTACCTCATAAATTACCTCCTGAAATAGACCCAATAGATATATTACAATTGCCACACCTTGGTTTCATGGAACAGGTAGTTGCCACTCCACTTATAAGAGCTCTTGTTGCTGTAGGCAATTACAAGCCTAAATATCCTTTTCTCACAGTTACACGCTCTGCCCTCCTTTATGTTGCTTATCATCTCAAAGGTAAGTTTTCCAACTTTAATATAACATTTCATCATAAATAACTTGGCTATATCTGTAACAATACAAATGATCATATTTTTTGACAAGTTATCACCTTTTCTTGAGTTTTTATTATCTTTGTAATGTTATACTTTTTGATGGGATAAACAAGTGTTCAAATTTCTCAATGAAAAATACACTGAAATATTTCAAGCAGACAAAGAAAACAGTGTGATAGTTTTCAACATTTTTCACAATAGACATGTATTGAATTTTTTTTTTTTTTTTTTTGTAGTGTCTGGCTTGTTGTGAAAAAATGTGTCATTAAAGCTTAGGAAAGTTCAACATTTAATTTTTTAATTGTAAACCAGAATTTTCCCTAATGTTTTTTGTTTTATGTGTTTGTTTTTATAATTTAAAAAATAAGCAATATATAAATACTCTTAAAGAATATTTTATGCCATAAACTCTACGCAACTAACTCTAGTTGAAAAGAAATATATTGTCTAACAAACAGAAATCTAATTATAAGTCAAATGATATTTTTAACAGCTGAAGCTTTTGTAATTGTTTTGTATAGTTTTATTTTGAACAGTATGTTTATAACCTACATATATTAAACAAATGAAATAATTTGTACTTTAAAAACATTTTTTTTTAATTTCAAATTTCTCTACTTGTTTTAAACAATGATCACTGATCTTACATTTGATTAGAAATCAACAGAGATTATGATTATTCATTTTTAAACTGTAAACTTTTTTTTCTCATTCTTCTATATGCAAAAATACCATTACTCAATAATACTTTTCTTCAGTTTAATCAATAAGTAACAATAAATCTCTCTTTGCAGCTTTTAATCCTCGAAATTCTGATTACATTCGAAAAAAATACCACCAGAAGTTGAAAAGGTTTGAAGCTGACTGTGAGCTGATTGGCTATCTGAGCCAACACATGACTGATAAAAGCATCAGGAACCAAAAAAAGTCTGAAGTATTTAAGAACAAGATGGACACATTCTTTGCTTTAAATGGAATTGAACCAAGTTTAACATGGATTGCATGATAAAATCCTCTTTGATACAAGCTGCAAATTTTCACTCACTATCCTAACCTTCAACTTTCATATTTACAATTTCATATTAATACTTCAAAGATTATCCAGGATGAAACATTTTAATAAGAGAAAAATAATATAATTTTCTGATCTTTGGATTGTATTACTATCAGTGGCTCTATTTTGTTGTGTTTAATAAACCCTAAAATGTTGTTTTTCTCATATTCAGAAATGTTATCTCTTTCATCAAAATTTTACTAATAAAAAATGTACATATTTAAAATGAACTACATATTCATATATAACAGAAATGCCAAAAAATTATGAGCTGCTGCCTAATAACATGTAGCCCCCCCTTATATGGTATGGAATCAACAAGTTGCTGGATTGTTATGGGAGTACAATTATCCAAGACTTCCAAAGACCTCACAGAGCCACCATCAGCTTTCAAAACATTCTTTAAGCAAACTGGATCCATTGCTTCCTATAGTATTATTCATACACAAACACAACTGTTTGCTTCAAAGAACTGGAAACATTATTCACCTGATCAGATGATATAGTGCCAGTCTTTTACAGCCTAATTGTGATGTTCTCTGGCCCAGGTGAGGCACAGTAATTAATGCTGTGATGTCAATAATGGTACATTTATTGGTTGATAGCTATAAGACCCTTTGGAATGCAGTATACACTGTACAGTGCATTGGGTTGAGTTATACAGGCATTAAATTGGGATATTATTTGATGAAATGTTCTTTGTTGGGTAACATTCTGGTCAGTCACTAGTGATCTTATTCTTTTATCACCTCTGAGTGTCTGCAGTTTTCACATGACTGATGTGTTTCAAGAATTCAAACATTCTTGTTATACTCTTATTACTGTTGCTTGAGGAGAACTTATAGTCATTGCCACCTCAAAGATAGAATACCATGATCAGTGTTAGAGCCTCTCTGTCACATGGTTGCAACAGCTACACTGTCATACCTACACTACCTCTTTACCTATTATGTCATGCAACTGAGCCCATTTCTACTTGTAGGGGAACTATCCAATATATTGCTGTTTCTGAATGTTTGCAGCACTTCAGCTTATATATTTTTTGTGTGTAACATTTTTCATAAATGCTACACAGGTCGCAAACAGAGTCCACAGATACTACTAAGTGACATTTTGATCCTCAACAGAATTACTGAACTATATGTTAATAATAATCCCGTCATTTTTTATTTACACTATGCATGTCTTGTATTAATTTTCATTTAACAGCATACAAAAGAATATAAAGAGTAGTGAAATTTCATAGAAAAACTTTTATATATTATTGCAGTACATTTCAAAATGACCCATGACAGTAAATTAACATCACATAAAGTCAATATAGATCTGAATTAAAATCTCTATTTATTTATCTAAATATTGTGTGAGAATATGTAAATTTTCTAAATTTTCTTGTGATAATAAACAGCATTTAACAGTTCATTCAACAAAAAAAAAGCTTTTGTTAAACTTCCTGAACATCAATTTAACTTGAATTTAAGCTAAAAAAATGAACAAGCTGTTGCTGCTTTCTTACTCTTAACAAAATCAGCAGCAACTAAATACAAAATGATTTACAAGACATTAATATTTAGGAAAACATTAAAAAGGAAACAAAGTACTGCATATTGTGGCTTACTTGGTAAAGTGGTTGCTTTTTAACTTATATAAATCTAGCCAATTTATATTCAAGACTACAAGCTAATATTTCTGCCAAGTGTATTATTCCCAATACCTGCTATGATCAGTCCATCCATATACATGTAAAAATCTTAGTATCAAATGGTAAAAATATTTATGTGTACTTTTGGATAGTTGAGTGAGTAATTCTGTCATTGCTACTATGATGTCACCTCCTGTCGTTTCTGTTCAGTTGGACACCAGGGTGTATAAACAGTTGGGAATTGGGAATCATGCCGAATATGGTGAGTCAAGTTGAAACTGTTGTAACATATAATCAAACACAGATGTTATGATTCAAGTAACCAGAAGTTGTATATTACAGTATCAATCAGATACAAATATGTTCACAAGAACAAGTGGTATCCAGTCCATGCAAAGAATAGATCATTACAACCTTCTCCTTATATATAACAATTGTCACTTAAGAGAACTAAAGGAAATAGCATAGGCATACACACATCTGTTTACATATATATGATATTTTTTTACAGGATTTATCAAAAGATTTCTTGAAACAGAATGTCTTTTCTGCAAGGTTTCAGAATTTGAAATATTTCTAATGTTCACTTTTTAAGTCTTAGTGCAATAAACCTTTCCTGTCAGCTTTTTAGGTATAAAATGTTTTTTAATCAAAACATAAAAATTTTCCTGAACTCTTAATAATGATTAGTTAATTATTGAATTAAAAGCCACAACGTTTAGCTCAATTTTCAGGTGCCAGATTAAAAATGACCAATTTACATTTGGAAAAAAACTTGAACAAGCCACCACACAATGATTTTTTTTCTTTCAAAATCAGTTTTCTGTATTATGTATTTTGCTTAAAGTTTAAGAAATGAAAGAAATTTGAAGGCAGAATATTATCTTAAAATACCTGAGCTGTGTGGATGGTTCATACAATTGTCTTTGTAACTTATATAAAATCTTTGAATGTAAAATATGACTGCAGAAATGTGATTTTGTTTTAATCATTATTAATATATCTTGAATCATTATATTTTGTTTAGAGAAGCAAAATATTTTTGAAGATAATAAACAATTTCATAAGCACTGCAAGAATAAATACTAATAAATGATAGGGGCACTTTAAGTGATGTGGCCTGGAGTAAGTTATTTAATGGTTCACTCTTACAGTGCTTTTAAACATAAATGAGTTGGAAAATTAATGTCAGGACAATAAAAATTTACATAAATTATTATTCTACTTCAAAAATATTTTGTATGTAAATTAGATTTCTATTTTGACTATATGACATAATAGCCCCCACTCCTCTTTTGCTCCCTAAAAAAAGGCTTTAAATTATTTCCTATATCTTATAAGTTGCAGTTTTATTTGGTACCAATATTTTTAATGAGTCTAATTCCATGTAACGCTAATATTAAATGTAAATGGCAGTGGTCTTATATGCCAGTAAATAGTCATTTCTATATTATAGAAACTGCATAATGAAAATCATCCAACAAAGCCTAATAATAATACTGAAAGCTATTTTTGATGCTATGGAACTTTGCTAACAGATATGCTTCTGCAATGCTTTATCTTTACAAGGGATTAGACCAGCAAATGGAATATTGCTGCCACATTTGGGCTGGAGCTGCTCAATCCTCACTTCTTTCCAGCCTTGATAGAGTTCAAAATCATTTCTGCAGTCTTGTGGGGAGGGGGTTTATTTTCCACTCTGCAGCCTCTGTCTCCACAGATGCAATGTTGCAAGCCTATTGCTACTTCCTTTGCAAACATTCAAATGAGCACCATTCTTTAATTCCACTCTCAGACCCAATCTCCGTATTCCAATCATAAGGAGAAAGTTCCACTAGCTCTCCCCACTCACTCAAGAACTGCTAATTTGTGGCACTGACTACCACATGGATGCTTCCCTGGACACTGTAATCTTAACCTCTTCAAATCAAGTGTCAATCATAATCTGTTCTCCCTATGCTAATAATCTTCACTTCCTACCACCTCTTACATTAATATCACACACCTCATTCAGTAACCCTCTACCTTGAGTAGCTCTCGAGCCTTGTATTGGCTGAAATTTAGTGTAAAGAAATGAATACTGTTTTGCATATTGATTATAGAAGTATTTCAGGGACTGAGGACAGTAGACATGGAGTATGAATTGTCCTCAGTTAAAAAAAGCATGCATAGGAAAAAAATCAATGCTTTTCAACTTAATTAACTTTGATTATTCAAATTTCTTTCTTTCTTTTGTTCCATAAATATTATCTTTCACTTCACTTAAAACTGTGCTAAATCAATAAAATTTATACAAACCTTAACTATAAATCTCTTAAATTGCAAGTTTAAAGTAATAAACAATAATCACCATTCTACTAAAAGTAGTTCTTTCTTTTATATCTTGTCTTCTAATGATTCTAATGAAGTATAGATAAATGCATACATACATTACCTTACCTCTGCATTAATATAATAATTAAAAACAAAATTGATTTAAAGCATCACTCCAAATATATTATTAGAATATATCCATCATATTAAAAATAGGATTGTGCTAGTTATAAGTGAAGGGATTTGGAGTTTGTTTCTAGACATGATTGAAACACTTGAAATTTGCATAACACCTCCTTAAATTCTAATAATAATTACAATAATAAATGTAAAGTATTTTAAAGTTTATGTTGCTTGAGAAGATAATCAAAAGATCTGATATTCCATCAAAATTGTTGGGACTGCTAAGCATCTTACTATATGAATCTAGTTGGACATTTGTGCCCAAAAAGAAAGAAAACAGTGTGTCATTAGGATGGTTTTTCTATTGACATCATTATAACTATCTTCAATCCTCAGTAATTTTTACTTTTTTAAAAAGTGATGGTTAGAATTGTAATAAAACCTAAACATATGATGAAAGTGAATTTATACATTTTTTTGTTCTTGAGAATTTACAATAAAATATTAAACATTATTTATTAGATTGTTTATTTTACAAGAATAATTTTATATTTACATTCTAAAAACTAATACAATTGTATTAAAACTAATACAATATTTATCATTTACCAATTTATGAAGAACTAAATGTGAAAACAAATTTTTATTCATAAATTTATAAACATTTACTAAATTATTAAATATGTGAACCAACTATAATAAAATCCTTATTTACCATTTTATAAAGTTTGAATTGAATGGCAGTTAGCTGATGTTTTGCCAACCATTCCAATAAACAATAAATAAATAATGTTAATTATTTTTGTTATTAATTTTTAAGAACAAAGAAAATGTATAAAGTCACTTCCATATGTTTAGAAAATAAATAATTCTA